GACTCTTTTCTGAAACGCCCTCTACCTGAACGTGCTGCCGTTTCCGAAGCATCCGTCCAACGGATCATAGCGCGGCCAGCCCATCCACCGGCCGCCGTCAAGTGCCACCCGTTCACACCCGATGAAGGCGACTTGAACAAAGCGTCCCCTGTTGAAAATGCTGATCCGTCGGCCAGGTGCTCAACGGACTTATCAGTGGTGAAGAGGATTGAGGCAAACGCTCGCGAACGCACCAGGGTACACACGATCAGTGCCGCCTTCCAGAAACTACGCACTCTCGTTCCGGCCGCATCCACCGGCCAACGGCTGTCTCGCCTGACCATTCTGAGAATCGCCTGTGATTACATAATGCTACTGGGTGCCATGAACGGCCTCGATTACTCTGCTGACCAAAAGGGAGTCAGTATCGACGAGGTCCGCCAGCGTTTGTTGCAGTTGATTCATGAGGAGTCGTAGGCATCGTCGGCCAGTCGGTCGGGGCCGAGCCAATCGAACTACGTCGACGATGGCACTGTTTACGCTTAGTACTTTTTTTACACGTTTTTTATGCATTGTGTACGTGTACAATATGATATAAATATATTTCAGTTGACAAACCGCTGTAGTTTGAGCAAGTGAACATTTTCATCCCACGTTTGGTTCGATGCCACCTGACTCGTCCGTCCGTTTCCAACTGACCGACCTACTTTCCGCTTTCGAATTCCAAACGATCGGTCATGTGGCGGCTCGGGTCAGAGAGAAACAGGATGTCAGGCGGGCGTTTTGCCAGCCACGGGGTAGCGTGCAACAACAAACTACCCGTTAGCGGCAAAGATGTGCCTAAACTGCTGCCCCGGACTGTCGTGGCACGTTAACACTCAAAACGTTTTACTGTTTTACTGTATTTGGAGCCAGTGATAAGCATCAACGTTCCATGGCAGGATGGTATTCCTGTGCCGAGACTCAAATCTAGCATTCAGCATTTATAACCTCACCTGGGTCGACCGGTATTCGGCGAAGAATCGCGCCAGCCGCAGCACGTTGTGTTGTCAGAGCGCAAAAGGTTTTGCCCCTTCCAACAAGGCTGACGGTGGCCTATTCATTTCTAACGTATACAAGCAAAATTCAGAACAGATAAATTACCATTTTCAATTCTCTATTGTTACACACATCAAACGGAGGTTGCAGTAGAACTTCTCAGCAACCAACATAGGTCACTCATACTATGTGGTTTCTGCGAGTACTGGCGAAGAACCGAGTGCTCAATGATCCACCCGTTAGGTGTACCTTGTTCAAAAGTACCCGGCGTTGAAACGGCCCTGAAATCCTAGCCACAACACAATTGACAATCTTCTAACAACGTCATTTACATAAATTAGAAACATCAGCGTGCCACAGGTTGTCACGAGTCTTCATTTCTTCCCATGTATATGTTCAAAACAGGACCACGTCAATTCGGCGATATTTCATTGTCAGATATGCCGGTTTTGATATGCAGGTAGTGCAAACACAATGGGCACCTCTAAAGCCCAGCTTTAAAAAAGCGTGGAATACGCAAAGAACTATGATAAACATTGGAAGCAGATTGAAGGACTAA